AGTCATGAGGGGGCATAGTTCCCCCATGCTGGCTCAGGAATTCTGGGAGTTGAAATCCACGAGTCATGAGGGGACCATAGTTTCCCTCATGCTGGCTCAGGAATTCTGGGAGTTGAAGTCCACGAGTCATAAAAGAGCCAAGGTTGCCTACCCCTGGCACTAGTCACTAGCAAAATGCCAAATTCTGGGCTGGATTGATCCTCACAGTTTTATCTGTACTGCAAGTGTTAACTGGGATGTTGGGTTTAGTAACTGACCAGGATTCTGACCGAAAGACGGTTGGTCCTCCTGTAACCTCTCCAATCTGCAGCCTTTGATCTTCCAATTGTCTTATTTTGACAGCCTTGAATTCTTTCCTTTTCAACAGCTGTCCTGATGTTATGGCTAAGCCACTTAAAGAAATGAACAACGATAAACTACGATCTCTGGTCCAGTCAAGCTTCTACCTCCACCTGTTTGCACCTTGCTCCCTCCCTAGCCGCCGTTCTTAATTCTATTTTTATTTTTAGCATTAATATTTATGATCTTAATGCCTCAATGTTCTATCTCCTCGTGTTTACTCTGTTGTGTTTTGTCTAGAGGTGGCTCTAGATGAAATGGGTGGCATATAAAATGAATGAATGAATGAATGAATGAATGAATGAATGAATGAATGAATGAATGAATGAAAAGGTTGCAGCAAAGATGGAGGCAGAAGTAAAAGAAGATTATTGTGTTTCGTTGAATATCCTCATTTCTCTTCCCCCAGGGCATGCTGGGAAGGAAAACGACCAGCAAGTAATAGCATATAAGTGAATAAATAAATTGATAGAACAGAATATTTCAGCACTGATGATGTTACTTAGTTGGGTAATGAAATGTCTGCAAGAAAACAACCAAGCTCAGAGAGCATCAAGGACCCCACAGTCCTTCCTCCTCCTCCTCCTCCTCCTCCTCCTCCTCCTCCTCCTCTTCCTCCTCCTCCTTGTCCACTGATGATGTTACGTAGTTGGGTCATGAAATGTCTGCAAGAAAACCACCAATCTCAGAGAGCACTAAGGACCCCACAGTCCTCCTCCTCCTCCTCCTCCTCCTCCTCCTCCTCCTTGTCCACTGATGATGTTACGTAGTTGGGTCATGAAACGTCTGCAAGAAAACCACCAAGCTCAGAGAGCACCAAGGACCCCACAGAACAAATAAACGGAAGACGGAAAAATACTTGTGAAGACTTATGTTTAATATTGGACATTTTGATTCGCAACACCTTCCTCACACACACACACACACACACACGCCAAAGTCAACAATCTGGTATCCATCAGATGATTTGAGAACACAACTTTGAAGTCATGCTGGCTGGGAATATGGAGATTGTTGGTTGCAAACTCTCTTGAAGGCCTCAACGAAAGTCAGGTAGCCCGGGTCCAGCTTTTAATTTAATCACACAAACATGACAATTTCCTGCATTTAAATGAAATGCGAAATCATGAGGTTACATCCCCCATTATTCTTATCTGGGAGAGTTATTTCTCACAGTCAGTAAAAAAAAAAAACCAACACAATGGAACAGAAAGAGACTTTTCTGCACACAAGAAAGGGATCTGGGCAGTCCAATATTTAGAAAATAATAGCATATGATGGTATAAAGTTCTCCTGCTTGAGCAGGGGGGTTGGACTAGAAGACCTCTGAGGTCCCTGTGTTCTGTGTTCCAAGTCTAAGTATCGTTTTTCCGTCTAGGCAATGCTTTTGAATCTTGGCAACGTTGAAGGGGTGTGAAAGTTCAGCTCTCAGACCTAGCCAGCATGCTGTTGGGGTTGAGGTTCACACGTCTTAAAGTTGCCCAGATTCAGAAAAACCAACCTAAGATTTGTTCCTGAAACACAGCAGTTGCTGGAATTCCTTCACTATATTGGAGGGAAAAAATCCTAATTTTTCTTCAATATGTATTATTGTTCTTTCTACCTTGTGAGCTTGACTGACTGCTTATAGTCCTGCCTCCTGTGTGAATTTTGAGATTACCCTACCGTTTCTCCACTCTGGCAAAACATTTTGAACATGAATCACGCGGAGGTTGATAGATATTGGAAGTTTTTAACTTTAATGGAAGAATCCTGGCATTGTCCTGACTACGGAAGGGTTCCATGACCTGCTTCAAATTTGAAATGCTTCCGGTTCAAATCTTTTTTTTAAAAAAAAATGGCATTTATTTATTCAGCATATTTATATAGCCACCCGTCTCACAAACATGTGACTCGGGTAGCCTACGACACCACCACAAGTTAAAAACTCCCTAACAATTTATAAATAGTCAGAAATAAGTTAGAATAAAGAGGTAAAGTAAATCAGTCAACAAAGCCAGGAAAACTGGAGAACAACCATCGCTTCACCTCATTACGATCACTTTTCAGGGCTCTTCCTGGGATCTCCAATGCTGGTCAAACAAACCCATGGTTTAAGGTTAAAAGAGGGGGAACGAGGGTGGGACCTACAGCAGAAAAGACGTATCACTGCTGGGTCCCACCATCTGTTTCATAACAGAACCCTAGAGCCAGGGGTAGGCAACCTTGGGTCTTTTATGACTCGTGGACTTCAACTCCCAGAATTCCTGAGCCAGCATGGGGGAACTATGGCCCCCTCATGACTCGTGGACTTCAACTCCCAGAATTCCTGAGCCAGCATGGCTCAGCTTGGAAACCTCTCTCTTTCCCCTCAGCATGGGTGGCTCAGGAATTCTGGGAGTTGAAGTCCACGAGTCATAAAAGAGCCAAGGTTGCCTACCCCTGCCCTAGACTAATCACCAACCTGGAATGACACTGTACCTTACGTTACTTCTCCACCATTATTCGTGCAAATTCTTCATAGTTGACCTTCCCGTTCCCTTCTTTGTCCATCTCCTTGATCAACACCTTCACCTCTTTGTCTGTCAGCTTCTCACCCACGATGGTCAAGACGTGTCGCAGCTCTGCCGTGTTGACGTAGCCGTCTCCATTCCTATCGAAGACGCGGAAAGCTGCTCGGATCTCCTCCTCCGTGTCAGAATTCCTTGTCCTCCTGGCCATCACGGACAGGAGCCTTGGGAAATCTGCCTTTCCCTTGTGGGCCTCTATCTCACAGATGATACTTTGTACCTCAGCTTCCGTGGGATTCTTCCCGAGGGATCTCATGACGGTCACCACCTCCTTGGAGGTGATCAGCCCGTCGCCATCTTGATCGAAGAGGGCGAAGGCATCTCTGAGTTCCCTAATTTCTTGCTCCGAGAGCCGGTTGGCCATGTTGCTTCTCTGATCCCACACCCACGTCCGTCGTTCTTCTCAAACACAACAAACACAACTCACGCTCCTTGAAGAAACAGGAAAAGCTGGTGCAGGATGGGGACGTGGTGAAGGAATGAGAAAGATGAGTCCTCGCCCTCAAGGCCTGGATGTGGATCAGTTGGTTTGAGGAAACATCATGTAGGGAAGTAGATAGAGGGTGCGCCGTGTCAAATTTTTAATTTTTTTTCAACTTCAGCTCCGTCGACCAGAAAAAATGTGATTGTCAATGCTGCTAACATCGATGTTTTTGCATTGACAACAGAGGGAAGTGTAGCCATCTTTTATCTTTTGCTTTTAGATGATGCTGGGAGGGCGGATGTGAACGAGAGTCCAGCTAGACGTAACAACACTAAACCTAGCATGAGAAACAAGGTTATTGTAACCAGAGCTGATAAAGAATTGGCGGGCTGGAGAGCTGGAGAGGAGGTCCACGCTTCAAGCTAATTGGGGAATGTGATTTATGACTGTTAATTGGAGGAGGGAATTGTGCTTTGATACTATGTGCTCAGGGGAGGGGAATTCAGTTTTTGGCTTCGATTATGCACTGCCGATATTATGCTACTCAAAATAAAGATTATTTAAGGTAAACAATGCCTCAAAGTTGTTTTGAAGGGTTTCATCTGTCGGAACCATGACAGCAAAGCTGCTGGATGTCCTCAACTTATGACCAGAATTTCTGCCGCTAAGCGAGACAGTTGTTAAGTGAGTTTTGCCCCATTTTATGACCTTTCTTGCCACCATTATGGAGTGAATCACTGCAGTTCTTTAGTTAGCAACATGGTTGTTAAATGAATCTGGCTTCCCCGCCCCCATTGACTTTGCTGGTCAGACGTTTGCACAAGGGGATCAATTGAGCCCGGGACACTGCCAGTTGCCAAGCGTCTGAATATTGATCACGTGACCGCTGGGATGCTGCAACAGTCCTGTGTGAAAACGGTCATGAGTCCCTTTTTTTCAGCGCCGTTCTAACTTGGAATGGTCACTAAATGAACTGTTGTTAAGTCAAGAGCTATCTGTAGCTCATTTGTTTAGTAACACAGTTAAGTGAACCTGGCTCCCCTCCCCATTGGCTTTGCTCGTCAGAATGTCACACAAGGGGATCACGTGACCCCGGGTCACGACAAACCGTCGTAAATATGAGTCTACTGTCAAATGTCTGAATTTTGCTCACGTGATCACGCTGCAATCATGCTGGGTGAAAATTGGTCCTAAATCTCTCTTTTTTTAGTGATGTTGTAGCTTCGAACAATCACTAAACAAATGGCTGTCAAGCAAGGACTCTCCTACTTTGGGTTTTACATTTCGTGGAGGGTTCTCCTAACAACATTATCTTCCCACGGAGCAGCGAACAGGTTAAAAATAGATCTGAAGAAATGGAGAGTCCTGGAGCAGAGGCAGAAGTTTGAAACTTTCCATGTGGACGCAAGATGGGAAACGCGAAGGAGTCAGCGGGCACGCGGCGTGCTTGAAATTCTCCGAGCGCTGTTCTAATTCAAACCGATTGTGCTAATTTGGCCTAATGTGGATCTTCTCTTCTCCTGGGTTCACTTTCCTTGGCGGAAAACCGTGTGGCTTGCAAGTGAAGTTAACTTGAAAATCTCTCTCGGTCTATGCACCCGGTGAGTATCAAAACAGGTATAGTGTAGGGTGGTACCTTGCTCAATAGTAGTAACTGTGAGTCCTAGTGGACAATCGCTTAGATAGGAGCCAGCCGTGCGCTGCAGCTGCCAAAAAGACCAACACAGTGCTAGGCTGCATCAGCAGAAGGATGGAATCAAGATCAGGTGAAGTGTTAATACCACTTTACAAGGCCTTGGTAAGGCCACACTTGGAATACTTGCATCCAGTTTTGGTCGCCATGATGTAAAAAAAGATGTTGAGACTCTAGAAAGAGTCCAGAGAAGAGCAACAAAGATGATCAGGGGACTGGAGGCTAAAACTACAAGGAACGGTTGCTGGAATTGGGTATGTCCAGTTTAATGAAAAGAAGGACGAGGGGGGACAGGATAGCCATGTTCCAGTATCTCAGGGGCTGCCCCAAAGAAGAGGCAGTCAAGCTATTCTCCAAAGCACCTGAAGGCAGGACAAGAAGCAACGGATGGAAACTAACCAAGGAGAGAAGCAACCTAGAACTAAGGAGAAATTTCCTGACAGAACAATTAACCAGTGGAACAACCTGCCTCCAGAAGCGGTGAATGCTCCAACACTGGAAGTTTTTAAGAAGAGACTGGACAGCCATTTGTCTGAAATGGTGTAGGGTTTTCTGCCTGAGCAGGGGGTTGGACTAGATGGCCTCCAAGGTCCCTTCCAACTTTATTATTATTACTATTATTATTACTACTATTACTACTATTACTATTATTATTATTACTATTATTATTATTACTATTATTATTATTATTTATTAGATCCGTGTGACTAACTGAATAGCTGCGATGATTCATTTAAGAACGTTCGCAAGAGAGGTCGTAAAATGGGGCAAAAACTCATTTAACCGCTACCTCAGCCACAAAAACGTCGGGCTGAATTGCGGTCGTTAGTCGAGGATTTTCTGTACTTCAGCTCAAGCTTCTTTTTTGGATAATTTTCCACCCAATGGGCAAATTCTCTGCGTTCCCCCCTCCCGAACCTCAAAATAAAACAACAACCCATAATTGTTTGACATAATAAAAACAGCGAAGGCATGTTGTCGGTGGAAATAACGTTTCGTGTCGCTGTTTTACTTTCCTTTGGAAATTCCTGACCCCGTTTTAATGAGCGCCATGCTCCCTTCAGGATCTTTTCCGAAACGTGAGCGTGCCAGCCATTTAAAAAAAAAAAGAGAGAGAGAGAGAAAATGGGTTTTATTTTCCAAAGTGGAAAGATTCAGGCAGCCCCCTCCCCTCAATTTAATTCCATCCAGATGTATTAAATCACGTCCTGGAATCTCTCGCCAACGGAGGGAGAAAAACATGACATTTTTTTCCCCCAAAAAAATTTCCCCTACTCAAAGGAATTGTTGTGGTGGGCCCCTTAGGAAGGAAAGGTCTGGTGTGGCAGAAAAAAGAGGGTAAAATCACATCCACCCAACCGGTGGCGGGGAGCCAAGTGACCCCAACCCACCGTAGACTTCCTTCCATCTCTAGCTGCTGATCCGAGGCAGATTTAAATTGGGAGCTTTGGGTGAACAAAGCATCAAAGGTTCCGATTTACACATTTCCAATGTTTATTTAAAAGAAGAAGAAGAAGTAGTAGTAGTAGTAGGTGGTTCTTGAAATGGAATTCTTATATTGCAGATACTTTAGCTCTCAAGTATGAATAGAATAGGAATAGGAATAGGAATAGGAATAGGAATAGGAATAGGAATAGGAATAGGAATAGGAATAGGAATAGGAATAGGAATAGAATAGATTATCCTAGTTGGATAATGAAACGTCTGCAAGAAAACAAGCAAACTCAGAGAGCACCAAGGACCCCACAGTCGTCTTCCTCCTCCTCCTCCTCCTCTCCACAAACTCCCCTCCCTTCTAGCACTGATGGTGTTACCTAGTTGGATAATGAAACGTCTGCAAGAAAACAAGCAAGCTGATTGAGCACCAAGCACCCCACAGTCCTTCTCCTCTTCCTCTTCCTCTTCCTCTTCCTCTTCCTTTTCCTCCTCCTCCTCCTCCTCCTCCTCCTCCTCCTCCTCCTCTCCACAAACTCCCCTCCCTTCTAGCAATGATGATGTTACCCAGTTGGATAATGAAATGTCTGCAAGAAAACAAGCAAGCTCAGAGAGCACCAAGGACCCCACAGTCCTTTTCTTCCTCCTCCTCCTCCTCCTCCTCCTCCTCCTCCTCCTCCTCCTCCTCCTCCTCGTCCCCCAACTCCAAATCAACCATAGTTTGTTTGACATTGTTAGGAGAAACCCCTGAGCTGCTCAGGCTGGGAGATCATGGCTGCAAAGAAGAAGAAGAAGAAGAAGAAAAATCTAGGATCACCCACAAATGTCATCTGATAAGGTCGAATTCTCGGCACCCCCCGCCCCCACGGCAGAAAAAAAATACCTTTTCTGGCCCAGCTTTGCAGAGGGCCATGATGCAAATGCCAGGAAAAGCAAAGACTCCTTTGAGTCAAGCTTCCATTCCTGGCTGGTTTGCTAAATAAAGAGGTGGGGAATTTGATGGCCAGGCCACCGGGCGCCGATAGGCTCAGCCTCGGGTCTGGTTCCCTGGAAGGAGCCGGGAGGGTGAGGACAACATATAATTCTCCAGTAGAGCAGAATTCCAGATCTTTTCTGGTTAAAAAAAACAGTTGGGGATGCTTGGGAACGTCTCTGCCTGCCTCTCCTTTGAGTCAGATTTCCCGTGATGTCCGAAATTTTCTGCCGCCAAAGTAGCCCCTTGAAAATCTCCAGTGTTGGAGCATATAATAATAATAATAATAATAATAATAATAATAATAATAATAATAATAATATGATGATGATGATGATGATGATGATGATGATGATGATGATGATGATGTTGGAAGAGACCTTGGAGGTCATCTAGTCCAACCCCCTGCTCAGGCAGGAAACCCTACACCATTTCGGACAAATGGCTGTCCAGTCTCTTCTTAAAGACTTCCAGCGTTGGAGCATTCACAACTTCTGGAGGCAGGTGGTTCCACTGGTTAATTGTTCTCACTGTCAAGAAGTTTCTCCTTAGTTCCAGGTTGCTTCTCTCCTTGGTTAGTTTCCATCCGTGGCTTCTTGTCCTGCCTTCAGGCAGGACTGCTTTGGTCAAGGACTACCTGTATATCAAGAATCCTTCAATTTTCATCGGCCATCTTGAAAAAGGAGCCATCGAGTGGCAAAGACGATCCTGAGCACTAACCACTCCACCGCTCTACCTTCTGGAAAAAGAGTGTTTCGTAAGTTGACATTTCCATCCCCCACCCCCACCCCGCCCAAGGATGCTATTTTGTAAACAGGACGGCCCCCGCCATCCGGGGACCAC